ACAAACGTTGGCAGCACTGCACTCGCTACCATCAAGGCGAAGGACTGCCGGGGCGGAAGTCCCGCTCGATCGATTACATCGGACCCATCAAGAGGGGTGCTAAGGTCGCTTGGCGCTGCCCGCTATGTCCTCATGGACTGGCGGAGGCCATTCGGTCCGGCCTCTCCGCCTCTGCCATCACTAAGGCAAAGCGCCGCCATCGGGATCTACACCACTCCGAGATCCCGCTCAGCAAGTGGCACCGCTTATGCCGGCCTCGTGTGGGCAGTGAGATTGCGGCTCAGAGGGTTACGATTTGCAATAGGGAGCTTGCTAAGCATTTTCGGGATGATTCTCTGCACCGTGTGGAAGGCTTCGAGAAGTTTGTGTGGCCTCGCCCATATTCCTATGTGAAGAAACGCATTGCTAGGGTTAAGTTCCGAACTGCTTGGACATGCTTGAAGTGCGGCCTTTGTTTCTGGCGCCGCTCGGCGCTCCCGAAACACAAGGCCAAAACTTGCTCCCTTGTGCTTGCTGCTAAGTCACGGAAGAAGCACCTTCAGGCCTTGGAGCGCACTGAGCTCTGGTGTCGCAAGCGGCCTGAAAAGCACGGCATGCAGGAGGCTGCTCTGAACAGCCTCTTCGCCACTGCTCGCGAGATCCTTGGAGGTGAGCACGTCCGCCCATGATGGACTCTGATCAGGAGGCCGCTCGTGGCCAGGACTTCGGGGAGGGCTTGGGCCACTCGTGTAGGGGCTCGGGCCTGTCTTTTCCACTGAGGATTGCATCGTTGAATGTCGCTCGCGCCGGAGCGTCAAAGATCCATAATACTTTAGATTTTGCTCAAAGTTTTGAGGCTGAGGCGTTTTCTCTCCAAGAGCTCGACCTCATGCCTCTCGAGGTGCCGCGCTACGTGCATGCGTGGAGGCAGGCAGGATACCAGCTTCTACTTTCGCGACCTGAGCTTCCGCACGGCAACAGAAGGGTGGGCCTCGCTACCTCTCTGTCGGTCAGGCCTTTCCCCTTGCAAGGGTCTCTGGCGGCCACTCGGGTGGCGGCAGGCCTGGTGCAGGTCCAGTCGGGCGGCAGGGCCAGACCTCTGATCCTCGCGGCCATGTATGGTTTCCCAGATGACTGTCAAGCCACGGAGCAGGTGGTACAACAGTTTCTGGACGAGGTGCGCCCCTGGAGGTGCATGTTCGTCCTCTTTGGGGACTTCAACTGGCAGCGCGGCGAAGGCGGGCTCGTGGACGACCTCTTCTCCTCGGGCCAGTTGCGTTGCCTCGACGACTCCTTCGACGGGCTCTTGCCGTACACGTCTCCAAACCGCGTCAGACGCATTGACTTTGGGGTGAGCCATCCGCTCGTGGCCACCACTCGGGTGGATCACGAAGATGGCCCTGCGGACCATATGGCAGTGCGCTACACGTTGGACTTTGACTTGAACTTTCAAGGCCATCGGCTTCCAGCGAGGGCCCCTTTTGTCACTGACCGCAGCGTCGAGGACATCGAGGTCAGCTTTAAGGCGGCGTGGGTGGAGCGGGACTTCACCGACTGCTTGCAGGATGGGCGGCTGGACGACGCCTGGGGCGTGCTTTCGGGCGCGGCCGAGGTGGCTCTGGGCGCGGAGCGTGGCAGTGGCGACCCTCGGGCTTTCGAGCCTGTGCCCGAGCCGTGCGAGGATCGTCGTCGCTCTCTTCGTACTCCCAAGGCCTCGCGGGGCCTGGCAGGCCTGCGACGGCTCCAACGACGACTTAAGCAGCTCGAGTTGGAGCCCGAGGACGCCAACCTGAGACGACGTGTGAAGGCTTCGCTGTCGGGCCTCCGTGAGCTGGTACCGCAGCTCCCCTACTTCGCCGGCGACCTCTCCGAGGCCGGTGCAGTGGTGGAGCAACTGGTGCAGGAGCTCCACACCCAGGAGGTCCAGGCGAGTGTTGAAGCGTGGCAAGCGACGGAGAAATCGTTCGCTCACTCTTGTGCTTGGATTAAACGCAAAGCTGATCAGGCACGAGCATGTTTTCAGGAACCCAAAGAGCTCCGGGCCGCGGTCGCTACACATCCAACGAGCATTTTGGAGAGCCAAGGTGCAGAGTGGTCCTCCACGTGGACACGCCCCACGGGCCGGGCTTTCCCCGACGAGGCTTTCAGGAAGATCTTAGCTGACATTCCCCGACCGGAGCAGCAGGACATCGCGTTGTGTGTTTCGGGGGATGCCCTTCACAAAGCTACGAAAAAGATGATCAAACGCTCTGGCGGTGCAGATGACTGGCAAGCTTGCGATCTGCTTCGTCTTCCAATGGGCTTCTGGGAAGCCACAGCCAAGCTGTGGAACCATGCTCTTGAGCATGGCCAACTCCCCTCTTCCTGGACTAACGCGCTGGTGGTGCTCATCCCTAAACCCGACGGGCGCACCAGGCCCATTGGACTGATGTCGCTGCTCTGGAGGGCCGGGGCACGTGTGTTGGTGAGGCAGCTCCGTGCCTGGTCCAGTTCCTGGGCTACAGCACAGGCGATGGGCGGCATGGCAGGCGTGGGCGTCTCTGACGCGCACCTGCGCCTCTTGGGCGCGTACACGCGCGGCACGCGCTCCTTCTTCAAGCAGGACCTTTCACACTTTTTCGACAGTTTGTCTTTGAAAGTGTTGATCCCTCTTTTAGAGCACTATCGCGCGCCACCGGCTCTGATTCGGATCGTCGGGGCCCTGTATCGTGATTCTCGTAGACTCTTTAAGGTCCAGGGCTTTACGTCCCAGGCTTTTGCTAAGGTCGACACCGGAGTGGTACAGGGCTGTCCTCTCAGCCCGTTGCTCTCTTTGCTGGTGGGGCAGGCATGGGCAACTTATGCCGTGGGACGCCTGTCTAGCATCACTGCGATGGTGTATATAGACGATAGGGTGTTATGGCCGACGGCCAGGCAGCCTAATGCAGAGGCGGACATGCGCACAGCCCTTGGCCGCTCTGACTTCTTCGACCAGGCTTTGGAACTGCAGTGCAAACCGGAGAAGTGCGCGCTCGCGCACGACCCAGAGGACTCTTCCATGGTTACCTTGGCTGCGGCGAGAGGGTACCAGTGCCAATCGGCGCTGGAGTTCCTCGGCATTCGTTTCGACCTGGTGTCTCAGGAGTGCACCCCGCTGAAGCTCGACCTTGGCAAGCTGAAGTGGAGGATCCGATACATCAAGCGCCTGGGGGCTCCGCTGCCTGTGCTGCAGCAGTTGGTCTCCTCTCTGGTGGGAGCGGCGCTCTACTGGGCAGGCGGAGTTGCGCAGCCGCGAGAGGAGGACCTTCGCTGCATCGCGGACGAGCTCTACTACCTCTTCCAGGCGAACTTCTTGCGTGACACGCCACGGCTTCTTCTTCACGAGCTGCTTGGCTGGCGCACTGAGCCTCACTTCGCCTGTGACTTGGCGGCCTTCCGCGCGGTGGCGCGGTACATGACCGGTGCTTTGGCCTGGAGGGACCATGTCCCGCTCGCTGAAGCCTTCGATGAGTGGCGTCAGGTGCTTCCTCTGGCTGCGCAGGCGGCCGATCGCTTTGGCTGGCAGGTCCTGCAGGGCGGCAAGCAGTTGATGCGCTACGACGACCTCGACAGGCAGCGCTTCTACCACTTCGGCTTTGACTCCTTCCAGGTGCTCGAGGAATGGCTCTGCATCGAGTACCGGCGTATGTTCCTCAACCGTTGTGGGCGAGTTCGGCAGCGGCTGCATCGCGATGGCAACTTTGCTTCGGGCCTGGACCTCCCGGCCCCTGGGACGATTGATCTTCGCTTCGAGGGCCACCGCAAGGTTTTCCATCAGGCTCCAAACCTCGCAGCCCGCAGGGCTGCTGCTGGAACCGGCTGCTCTGTCTGGTATTGGACCGCAGGGATGAAGCTCAACCCCGGCGATGCGCGCACTGTCTGCCTTTGCGGAGCGCAGCAGCCCAGCCGGGCACATTTGACCTGGTCGTGCCCCAAGACGGCGCATCTGAGGCAAGGCTTAGCCATGCCCAAGAACAGATCCGAGGAGCGACTGATGGCAAAGGCGCTCCCGCAGTGGCCTCCTGCACCGGTGAGCCTCGATGAGGAGGACTTTGTGGAGCAGCTGGCGGCTGATGCCATGTCTGCGGCCCTGGAGGCCGAAGCTCTTTCAGGTGGTGCCTTGGATTTCCAGGACTTCGAAGGTGATTTCCCTGACCGCCGGATGATTGCTGCTACGGACGGCTCCGCCTGGGTTGCTGCCTATAGTGTGGTTTTCCCGGGAGGCCGTGGGGGTGGGAGTGGCGATTCCAGTGAGGATCAAACTCCTTTCCGAGCGGAGCTCAAGGCCCTGGTGATTCTCTTCAAGGCGATCCTTCATGCGAGTCAGCGGGGCCTTGTGCCCTGTGATCTTTGGGTCGTCGTTGATTGTCAGGCTGCTCTCGAGGCCCTTGGGCGTCCGAGCAACTCATGCCTGCCGCTTCTTGCTGAGGAGGCTGCCAGGCTCAGACGACGCTTAACAGGCCTGAGTTGGCGCATCCGCATGGTATGGTGCCCTTCGCACAATAAGCATGCGACTTGGCGCGCTCCTCCGCCTTTGTCTAGTGAGCTCTGTAGGCTACTCAACCAAGAAGCCGACACGCAGGCACGCCAGGCCATGGGGCGACGCCTCTCAGGTTCCTTACGCAGTCGATGGAAGCCTCTGGCAGAGGAGGCCGAGGCGTGGGAGCGCAATGCTCTCTACGCCTCAGCACACGCGAGCGAAGTGTATCATTCGCACCTTTCGGCACTGCAGCGACGACACACTGAAGCTGCACAGGGAAGCGAGCATGACGCTCATGATTAGGCGACTGTGCTTGTGCATGCATTGCTTAGGCGTGACGGTGCATGGTAGGCAGTGCATGTGCTCATGTGTGTATTCATGTCTGCGACTTGGTAGCTTCTTGCATGTTGCTCTGGGCAGGACTTTTGGTCAGGTGCTTCGATCGACTTGCCTTGCTTCAGGTTGCGGTCAGGACTGCGATGGCCTCGAGCGGTGCGGTGGTCTCTCCGTGGCTACGGTGGCGATGGCTGCGCTCCGGGTGTGCGGCGCCGGCGTGGGCAACACTTTAGCCCGCCGGGCTCCCCTGGGCCCCCCTTGCGACCTCTGTGCCGCCATGGTGGCTTCAAGCGCGGCTCCGAGGGCCTACGACTCCCTCGACTTCCACGCCTTGCTGCTCCTCGTGTGCTGCGACGGCTCCTCCTTCACGGGCGATCTGGATGTTTCCGTGGACTTTCGGGACTTTCGCTTCAACGGCGGCTTCTACCAGCTAGGGTGGCTCTTGGGCATGGTCTCCGACCCCTGCGACTTCGATGGTGTGGCGGACCTTCGGGTGGTTTGGTCGGCTACTTCCTCGACTACCTCAACTTGCTGCTCTACGTGTACCACGGTGTCTACTACACGGGCGACCTGGGCAACGACTATGTGGACCTTCGGGACTTTGGCTTCAACGGCGGCTTCTACTCGCAGGGGCTGCTCGAGGACCTGGTCTCTGGCCTTGCTGTTCCTCGTGTACCGCGGCGGCTACCACATGGGCGAGCTGGGCAACGACTACCTGGACCTTCGGGACTTTGGCTACAACGGCGTCTTCTACCAGTGGGGGCGGCTCGTGGGTCAGGTCTCGGGCTTGTGCGATTTTGGCGGAGTGGCGATCCTTCGACTTTGGTCGGCGGCTCCTTCTACTACTTCTACACGCTGTGCTTTGTGTACCACGGCGGCTACTACCACCGAGGCTCTGGGCAACGACTACCTGGACATCCGGGACTTTGGCTACGACGGCGACTTCTACCAGTGGGGGCAGCCGGGCCTGGTCTCGGGCTTTTGCGACTGTGGCGGGCTGGCGAACCGGCACCTTTGGTCGGCGGCTTCTTCCACTGCTTCAACGTGCTGTGCTTGGTGTACCACGGCGGCTTCTACCACTGAGGACCTGGGCTTCGACTACTTAGGCCTCCGGGACTGTGGCTTCAACGGTGACCTTTACCAGTTGGGACTGCTCTTGGGCACGGTCTTTGCTGCTGGCGGCTGCGACGGAGAGGCGGACCTCTTTGTGCTTCGGTCGGCTACTTCCTCGCCTACCTCAACCTGCTGCTCTGCGTGTGCCATGGCAGCTACTGCGGGGGCGACCTTGACGACGACCTCGGGGACCTCTGGGACTTCGACTTCAACGGCGGCTTCTTCTCGCAGAGGTTGCTCAGAGGGCAGAGTCCATGGTCCCAGACACTGCTGAAGGATGCGATGCTGATGCTACGACACCCTGCACTTTCTGCTCTTTCAGCTTCGGCGAGCTCCTGGAGTGCTGCTGGCTTCGCCGCTGGCCTGCACGTCGACTGACTTCCTACGACGAGCTCTGCTGAAAGACCTGAGGCGACTTAATTTGGTTTGAGTTTTTTGCATGTGTACATGACATGCTTCATGTCGGGCCTGCTTGACACGTCTTTTAAAGTCGTCTGCAACCCACCGTAGTTTCCGAGGCCCCTTCCCACAAAGAGTTAGGGCTTCGCAGGTAGTGCTTTCGAGGCCCCTTCTCACAAAGAGTTAGGGCTTTGTTTGGCAGTGTTTTATTTCTTCGCTTCGCTTGAGCTGTACTCTGTACTTGTACTTGTACTTTAGTGTCTCGCGAGGTGTCGTTGAACCTTTTAGTTCTGCTTCTGAAAACCAGTCGCTGGACTTTTGGAAAGGCTGTCACTCCACTACACAGAAGTGCCTGTGACTTTTGGCCGCGTGTTTCACACCGACGTGACCAGACCCAGGACTCGCATCCTGCATCGTGCGTGCTCTGCGCGCACTTTGTCTGGGGTTGCGAGAACTTTGACCGAAGCATGATTGCATCAAGGACTTTCCTTGGGACCACCCAGGGTTTGTTGCAGGTGGGCTCGGCAAGATGCGCAAGCAACGGGAGGCCAAGCCAGTTGAAGCCGTTGCGGAACCAGCGGCTGATGAGGATGGTGTGCTCGGGCCTGTGAGCCCCTTGCTTGCCGGGCCAGGTGATGAAGCCGCTTCTGATCCCGAGACCAGCTTGAATTACTCACCCAGCCTTGATGCCGGAGAGCAGCAAAGCCAAGCTGCAGATGGAAGCACAGGTGAAAGCACCAGTAGCAGCAGTTCTAGCAGCAATGGTGATGATGGCAGTGGTGCAGCTGCTGGCAATGCGCCAGTTGAGCAGCCTGATGCTGCTATGCATAGTGCCGAGGTTGAGGTGCCACCAGGAGATGCGGGAGTGTCCAGCGCAGGCGGGGATGCAAGTGCTGAGGAACGTCCGCCCAAAGCAGCCAGATTGCGTGCTGTAACACAGAGCGAATTTTACCACAATGATGCATCAATTGATTTTGATTTTGAGGATGCTGAGCTCGATGAGCTAGAAGGCTATGATTATGGGCTGGCTGATTACTACTTCAGTGAAGAAGCAGGCGGATCTGATGCGCCACCAGATGAACTGTGGAGGCCATTTGGGCCCACAGAGCCATGCCTTTCGGAAGCCGAGATGCTGATGATTGACAGCGCAGCCGATGATTTTGAAATCCGTAGGCTGTTGGCTATGCAAGTGCTTGAAGCCCTTACCTATGAGGCAGCCGAGCAAGCCCAGACTGAAGGATCCAGAATGTTGTCAACGAAGTTTGTCAGAAGTTGGAGAATCAAGATGCGCAAATTTGCTGATGGAACTGAACAGCAGCAATACCTGAGGCGTTCCCGTTTCGTGGGGCGTGAATACGCCTGGATGGACAAGGATCGCACCGAGTTGTTTGCTCCTGCTTCAGGTAGCCTGCTGACTCGAGTGCTGCCATCAGCCTTCATGAGGTCCAAGGGCGATGGCCATGCATGTTGTGTTCTTGACGTGGCAGACGCGTTTCTTACTGTCGACCAGCGCATACCAACGGTCGTCAAGGCAAGCTTCGGAGATCAGCAGTCACATGTGCAGCACTTTCGCTTGTTGAAGCTCTTACCGGGGCAACGTGACGGAACCGTCCGTTGGCATGAGTCGTTTACTGAGTATCTTGACAGCAAGCTTGGATTGGAGCCTTATGTGCCGTGCCCAGCACTCTTCAAGCTGAAGAATGTTGCTGTTGCTGGATTGTTGCATGTTGACGACTTGTTCAGTGAAGGACAGCGGAAAGGCTTGGATGTGATGGTGTCATGTGTCCAAGAGAAATACAAGTGCACGGTGAGCTGGCTTTGTGAGCATGGGGATGAGGTTTCATTTCTCAAGAAAGCATATCGGTTGGTGCGTGATGACCTGTTGATCATCCAACCTCACCCGCGCCACGTTGAGAAGCTGGTTGAAATGTTCAATCTCAGCCGTGCGAGGAGCAAGTCCAGTCCTTTGCCGACCACTCTGCCGGTTGACGGTTCAGAGCTTGATAGTGAACAGAGTTCGATGTTTCGCACCGCGGTCGGCGTGCTCCTTTATTTGCAGTCAGACGTGATTGAGGCGCAATTTGGGATCCGGTGGCTGGCTCAACACATGAGCCGCCCGACTGCTGGAGCGCTGCGTGTGCTGAAGCACATAATCCTTTACCTGAGGGACACTAGTGGTTACGCCATAGGCTTCCCACCATAGGCATAGGGGTTAGTGTGCAAAGCAAGTCAGGGCTTGATGTGCTGGAAACGCACACAGACGCCGACTGGGCTGGGGATAAGGTGCATCGGAAGTCGGTATCAGGATGCGTGATAACCTTGAACAGTCACTTGCTAAGCAGCAGCAGCAGGACACAGAAATCGATTGCACTCAGCTCAGGTGAAAGTGAATATGCCAGTGCCGTTTCCGGAACATGTGATCAAGTGTTTATCCGCAATGCTGTGGAGTTTGTTCTTGGAACGAAGGTCGAGTCGCATTTGCTGCTCGACTCAGCGGCAGCCAGGGGAGTGATCGCCCGTCAGGGGGCAGGCAGAATCAGACACTTGGAAGCGAAGATGTTATGGCTGCAACAGTATGCCCGTGAGAGCCTCCAGGTGCACCCTGTTGATGGCAAGCACAATGTTTCTGACCTTGGAACGAAAAGCCTCCAAGGACCCAGGATCAAGGCACTGTTGCACAAGGTCGGAATCCGCGATGCCAATGATGATTATGCGCTTGTGGGCAATGAAGAGTTCCAGAACCTTCTTGATGGAAACACGGTGCGCAAGCTGGTGCGATTGGTCAAGCAGCAGGGCAATGCAGGCAATTCTGTTGGATTGCAAGTCGCAATGATTGTCTTATCGCACGCCTTGAGCCAGCATTCCGTTGCAGCCGCAGCGGACAGCGAGGAACAAGATGTCACAGATGATGGCACAGATAGAATGCACAGCGTCTTCCAGCAAGTACTGGAGATGATCATGCTTGTGTTCACTTTTGCAGGTGAGTATGCCCAGCTGTATCCGATTGCAGCCACGAGCTTTGTGCAAGGCTTTATGTGGGTGATCCTGATGTGCTTTGGATGGTGCATGTGTCGAAGGCGCAATGTGAACTTGAGCATGCGGGGTGATGCGTCAGGAGATGAGCCCGTATCTCCTGCATCGCCACGCGGTGCCAGGAGCAAAAGAATAAGCAAGCCACCCAAACGCAGTTATGATGATGACGATGATGGAGCACGCGGTGGCAGTGACATTGGTGCTGAAGTGCCAAGCAGCAGCCATGAATCGCCAGGTCGTCTGAACTTCAATGTGCCGTTGAATCCAGGAGCTTCGGTCAAACTTGAGGTGTCGAGTGGATGTGGAAGTGACAAGCCGCCGAGCAGCGCGGCCAGTGTCAACAGTGTCAACAGTGCAGGGGACTCCGAAGTCCCACGTGCCAGACGTCCACCCGTGAGGCCCAAGCCCAAGGCCAGGGATCATGCAGATGATGAAGTGTGGGTTTCAGGTGCCCAAGGCTACTGTTACCACAAGGCTGGATGCGGAAAGCTTAACCAGAGCAACACAGTGACGTCCACCACAAGGCGTTTGGCTGAGAGCCGTGGATACCGCGGTTGCAAGATATGCAATCCATGAACAGGTGCCACTTGCGTATAATGCTCATGATGCCCATTCCTTGAGTGAGCAGCGTTTGCGCTGTTCACTGATCGGATGGATCAACGAACAATGGATGGAGCCTGTACAGTGGCTGGCCGTGAACCTTGTACATAGACTTGGAGTGGACACAGCAAATATGCAAGGGCATCCTTATACATGCCATTTTGGCGTGTCAATCTTGGACAAATGATCAACAACGAAGTCGCAACCGTGGAGCGGTTGAAGAGTCTGAGTGGGCAGGTTGTTACCGCCCGATGCAATTAGGCATCTAAATCCTAAGTCTCCTTGAACTTGAATGCCAAGCTTATCTTGATTCTCGGAAAGGCCTACGCTTGGGTCAGTCAAGCAGTCATTTCACAGGCGGCCCACGCCTGGGGAAATGGCGGTAACTAGTTGTAGCTACTTGTACAGTGTAGCTTCGCGCCAACGACCTTTCAAGGCAGAGCGCTGAACTGACAAACTGTCGACAGCTGTAGGAGTCTGTGGAGCTTGTAAACTTTGTGTTTTGTCTTTCGGAGGGGCAGCAAACTTTGTTAAAGAGCTTCTCAATGTAGCTCGCTCTTTAGGCGGGGTGCTAAAGTTTGTACCCACTTGTGTACCACGGTGTATGCTGCCATACTGAACTAATTTGCATGCTGTATGTTTTGTTTTGCTCCACTGTAGTTTAGAGCCCAATCTGAATTGAATGACTCCGCAGGCGTGTGAATCAGAGGAAAATCTTAGCATAAGACCACCTGAGAGCGGTAAGGCAATGAAGCGATAAGCTCATCGAGCGTTTTCCAGAAGCCACGACGTCTCTGATAGATCTGTTGGAGCTTGGCAGAATCGCCAAAGCCCATGGCATGCTGGTAGGCGCACACAAGGTCGATGTGTTGACCAGCGCCAAAGCATCGCATCTGCAGCAGTCTACCGGTATGTGTGCTTGCTCACGAGTGTTTGGTAATGTTTTGCATGCTTGCTGCACTCCATGACATTCCATGTACATTGCAGCAAGCAGGCTCGCAGCTGCCAGCTCGCCTGCATCGCAGGCTAAAATTTGTAGGCTTAACAGGCCTTTCTTTGCAAGCCCTCTAGAACAGCTCTGGAGGCCTCCAATCTGTGTGGAGTTTAGCTTCACTACATTCCTCTCCCGCTCGCGATAGGGGGAGGAGTGCATGGTTTTCAGGCCAGCTGATTTTGCGGTGCTCTGTTGCATTTATTGCTTCATTTGCATTATGGAACAGTCAGTGCCTGTGAGTGATTCGTCAGTGCCTGAGTATGCTGATGATCCTGCATTGGGCAATGACATGGCTGATCTTGATCAATCTCGTTGCATTGTCAAACGGTTCCAGAAGCGGACCTCGTCTCAGCAGGATGTTTCTACACTGGCGGGGGCCTCTCCTTCGTCAGAGGTTCTTGCATCTGTGGTTTCATCCCTGCAGGGCGGTCAGGATGAGTGCCTTGCACCTCCAGCTTTAGCTGTGTCCGACAGTGATGAGCCGGTTGTGATTTCCTTTTCTGCTGCATTGGACCTGGCTGCTCAGAGCGAGGAACCCGAGACGCCTGTGCCCCTGGACAACCACACAGGCGAGTCGCGACCACCGTCGCCAGTTTACGACCCGGATTATGAGTTGGTAGATCCATTGGATGTTTCCCTGGAACTTTCTGCTTTAGCTGATAAATCTGGTTCTTCTTCGTGGGGGCTGGTCTCGCCAGCGCCTGAGACACCACCTGCATCTGTGGCACCGGAGGCTTTGCATTTCTCTCCTCTTCGTGTGGGGCGACTGTCTTTGGAGAATGCTGTCAGGGAAATTACGGATCCTTTGTTGCCGGCCTTTTCTCAGCCGGCACTTGCGCTTTGTCCAGCTGCTTTGGAAATCCCACCGAAGACCGCTCCATTGGCTCGCCCGGTTCATCTGAGTGAGTCCAAGGGCCGGGCTATGAGTTTGCATTCTTCAGTGGCGAGGTCTAGTGAGTCGGCCAGATCTCGACCGGCTTTTGCACTCAGAGCATCCCTGGGGATACCTAAGGCGGTGCCCAAGCCTCGGCCGGTCCCCTCGGCTCGTGGAGCTTATGCATCATACCCTTCCGAGCGGTTGCATTCGGCTGCCCAGGAATCGGGGGCGGTCTCTAAGAGCTCGCCTACCCCTCAGCACACTGCTTTGTCTTGGTCTCCGACCGTGAACCCAGGTACTTCATCTCACAAGAAGCAGGCCACTGCTCCTGGCACCAAGCGAAGCATCGAGCTTATTCATTCTGGAGAGCCCAAGGACAACTCTAAAGTGGTCAAGCAAGCTGAGATTCATTCCAAGCAATGGGCACGTGCATTACACCTGTGGGGTGAACTTTGTGCTTTCGCACTGCCGTGTTCTACATTACTTCGCGATGTGTTCGGCAGCCCTAACAAAGGTGCTTTATTGGAGCAATTGCTCCGTCGGGTTTCGGACACGACCGCTGTGAGATACATTGCTGTTGTTTGGCAGTGGCTGCATACTGTCACAGATCTTGGTTTTGACATTGCATTGCTGACACAGGTTCAGTTGATTGATGCGATACATACACTTCAACTGTCCCGTCGACATCATTCGTCGGTCCATTCTATCAACGTACTCAAGGCTGTGCGATGGTTTTCATCAACGGTCCGCCCTGCGGGCTTCCCCAACCTATATGATGGTCTGTTCCATGCTAGGTCTTGGCAGTCCCAGACTGCATCCAAAGAGGCCTTGCCTCTTCCATTGGCTTTCATGCTTTGGATGGAAACCCAAGTCGTTTTTGGTTACTTTACACTTGAGGAAACTGCTTTTGCTGGTAGTGTTCTGGCTTGCATTTGGTGTAGTCTGCGATTTGGCGACAGTCAGCACATCCAGTTGTCTGATTTGTACATTGACTTCGACAGCTTCCGGGGTGCATCATACCGCACAAAGACACAGAAGTACATGGCATTCGGCTGCCTCCATTCAGGCCTGCTGAGGTTACCTCGCCAGCATTGCTGGCTTATGCATTGGTTGCTGTCTGTTGAGAAACTGCTGGATCTCCAGCCTGGAGCCCATTCTATTCCCGACTACATTTTCTTTCTGATCGAGGCGGGTTGCATCAGACCTTTGACGTATGCAGAGTGCCTTTCAAAGCTCAGGGCCTTGCTTTGCATGTGGAATCAGCTTCCACCTGGACAAGAGCTACAATACACTCTCCATTCCATGAAAGTTACATTACTTGCTTTCTTTAGGCAGCTTAACATGCCTCTGGAAGCACGGCACCTTCAGGGCCACCACAAACATTCTGCATCGTGTGCATTATATGGGCGGGACGACGTGTCCCCTCTCCTTATCACGCAGGACACCTTTATTGATAAGGTCAGGGCAGGCTGGAAGTCGCGAACCCCACTGATGCGTGGTGTTGCATTCATGCCTTGCGAACCAGACATGCAGTGGCCCCCTGATCTTGGGGCGATTTTACATTCGGCAGTCCCGACCTTCTTCAGGTTGGATGCCTTGCCAGGTTCGTCGACTTTGTCATCGGATGTGCACTCAGCGGCACCCTCTCCTCCTGTCAAGATTGCATCATTGCCTTTGGCTTCCACCCGCGAACAGGTTCCGGAAGAAGCTGAGACTTCTTCATCGGAAGACGATCTTGGCCCGGCGGAGGAGATTGCATTTCTTAGTGCATCCACTAGCAACATTATACATGCTTGCATCGAAGGCCGTCCGGCTTGCGGCTGCCGGGGCACTTTTCACTTGGTCTCGCACCCACCTGAGGGATCGCGATTTTGCAAGTCCAAACCTTGCATTTCTATTCTCACGAACCTTTCGTGACTGTGTCGGGCGCCTGACAAAACACCACTTACTCTTGCGGGGGCGATTCCGTTTGCTGCATCGAGTTCCATTGCTCCTTCTTTTTGCAAGTGCGGGCAGTTGCATTTGCATGTCACTGCAGTGGAGTGCTCAGAAGATTGACCATGTGGATTCCATGCATCATGGTGCTTATACTTTCAACCTCGGCTTGCAACTTCCACAGCTTCTAAAGTCCGGACTACATTTGCACGACATTCTTTCACAGTTTGCATTGCTTTTAATCTGGCCTCTGAGCTTTGCATTTCGTGACTCCGCGAAATTTTGCATCATGGAGAACATCAGGGACACCGAGGAGATCAGGAAGGCCTTGAGCTTCATTTACAATTCGGATGTCCACCAGGTGGTCAGTTGCATTAGGGGAGGACCCCCGGCTGGCCAGCGTAAGCTCCTGATGATCAGTGCTATGAGCTTCCAGCAGTCATCATCTACATCGTCTCCTCCGAAGCCGGATAAGGCCTCCATTGCTGAGGAAAAGCACACTGCCCCGGAGGAGACGAAGAAAGATGCATCCAAGGTTGGGCATGAGGATGCAGCATCATCGTCTGGAGATGTTCCTTCCACTACTGATGCATCCAAGGCACCCCCTTCGGGGACTGGGCCGGTTGGGGATACATCTACATCCCCAGCTCCACCGACTACGACTACATCTCCGGCGCCACCGATCCAGCCCATTCACAGCCCTACATTCATTCAGGAGGGCATTGAGACAAAATGCCCGGTGCGACCAGACAAGGTTGCATTGCACTCTGCGGATACAGTTCCGAGGTGCCCAACGACAGCCACTTCATTGCATCCTCCACTCGCCACTCTTGCAAGGCGTGCTATCGTGCACGCATGCATTCCAAGGACTCTCAGGATCCAGGTACATCGAGTACATCCTGGGACCAAGAGTGGGGGGATGATCAATGGAGCTACGGTGACAGCTGGAACTGGTGGAAGAGGGGAGGATACTAGTTTCATCCTCCATTTTTCATCCTTGCACTTTTTCATTTTAATCAGGGCTGCTCGTGTTTTCCATTGACAGCCCTCGGAGTTAGCTGTGTCTACTCCATTGCTTCGGCTGCCACCACGGCGCCCAGACAGCACCTCCCAGCGAGGGAGCGAAAAAATGGCGACTGGGCTAACTGATTGCATTCTCAGCTTGCATCT